TCCTGTGATTCTATGATTCTATAAGGTGCTTCAGACTGTAACTGTTAAACTGGTCAGAATGGGGTAAAGGGGTGAGTGCCCAGATGTACGCCGTGAGGATGCGGGGGAGCTGTTGTTATGAAAACAGTGCAAGTAACGTCTGACGTACAAAGATGACACTGAGGTACCTAAGGTCAGCACCAGTGCCATGATCAAGGTAGAAACCAAGAAAGAAAGAATTCTGCTACAGGCCTTGGGACAGAGAAAACATCAAAATTCTTGTATAAATTAATATTTTGTTGGGTTCTGCTGATCTCAGCGTAAGGGGTTTTATGCTTCAACACATGCTGGAAGACCTGACCGACAATGCTTGGGTTTATTTTTATTTTCACTGATGCCCGGAAACGCGAGATCCAATCTGGAATTTCATTAAAAACCATTACCCTGTGAACAGCAGTAAGGATACCATTTCATGAATATCCTACAGTAGTACAATCAATCTTTAATAAAAACAAGTACAGAAATTTTGCCTTCACGTAATAATTTGGATAAATAAATGCTGAGGGGTTATTTTTTATCTTTATAATAAATTAGCTGTGATTTACCTGAACAGATTTCTGGGATTGCATATAAAAACCTGACCAAGATTATTGAGATGGAGGTAGGGTGTACCTTTAGGATCACAGCTCCCTCTGAGAAGCAGTTGGTTTGAAAGGTGGAGGAGACTGGTTAGGAACCTTCCACGTAGGCAAAGTGCAATCAAGCTGCTCTTGGAGAATATGGCAGCACTTACGGTTATCAGGAAATCGAGGAAGAGCAGTGAAGAGGGGCTGGTAAACAGAGATGACTCCTCCTTTCACAGCAGCCTGCTTGTGACCTGGTTCTGAGCAATGCTTGATATGGGTCATTTTGAGGTCATCAAAACTAAAAAGGATACATTGTTAAGACAGTTCCTACACAAAATAATAGTTGAAATAAAGTACAAGTTGTGTACAAGTTCTACTAAAGGGAAACAGTAACCTTCGCTTTACTGTGGGCCACCTCCAACTCGCTTTGTCAATACCTACACTGATACCCACTTTGACACACACCCAGTTCTTTCCACTGCGATACGGACTCAATTTGTGACCCAATCAGAAAGTGTTTTCTCTAAGTCCATTTCCAAAGTCCAGCTAAGCAGTAAGATGAAGATTTATAGAAAAATACAACCTTGGACGTAATGAATAAATGATCTTGAATAACTTATTATAGTTTTAAATTTAGAAACAAACGATTTCATTTTTAATAAACAGATTGAATTCCTTTGAATTCCACTTTGCACATTTTTATTTGCGTTGTTAACAGTTTACAGAGTCTTAAAAGTGTCCCCTTCGTTTCACCTCTTGTACCTAATAAGATGTCAGCTGTGCAGTCTTGTAGTTCTTCACATTTAATGATCTGAAGTGTAAATGAAGAGAAAGTTGTTAGATTTTTGTGGAATATCACTGCACAAGTTCCAAGAGTTTCTGTAAAAATGAAAAACTGTGGTACACCCAGTTCTGTAATTAGATTTGATGACCTGAACCCCCGTGAAGTCAGATGTATTTTGTTGAAAATAACGTGCGTAACTGTTCTACACGCAGTCTTAGCAGTCTGCATTTGAAAGTGATTAACTACAGAATACAGTCTTGATTCTCTGCTTGAATTACAACAGAGCCCAAACCAGAAAATGAATTTGCTTAAATGTAAAGGGTCATATCTTAATAAGATAAAAATTTAAAGAATCATGTGCTTATCTACCTCTGTAGATACTCCGTGTACTACAGACCTCTTCTACCATTGCACAGTGACATGTTCGTAGTTAGGAATCCAATTGGAGTGCCAGCGTTTGGAAAGCGTCACAGGCTTACGCTGACTGCTGTTACGTTTGCCAGCAGAGGGAGCCAATTTTATTCCAACAAACGTAAAGGAAAACAAAACCAGATCTTGGTTTTAACAGGAACATTCCCCGTGTTTTTACATTTATCAAGTCAGAAAAGACTAAAAAATAACATTTTTTCAGTGAGAACTGTACAGCATGATAGTGAAGGTCTCCATGACAAGTACAGCCCCATAAAGTAGCCTCAATTCACAGAAGAGAGTAGGAATAAATGTTGAACGCCGAGCTCCTTATAGATTTCTCAGCCTTGTGTTAATAATTTGTTTCTTCATTTATTCAACTGTTTTAGGCAATAATGAACAGCTGTGCTAGTGACTTTGGGTAGACAGCATATGTGAAGCATGAACTCAAACTAAAGGTGCTTACCTCATGACATTTAAAGTTATTATGCTTCTAACAGGTCTGCTTTTTGGCCCAGGAGGGGGGTGAAAAATCCGTCCTTCTTTGTTAGCGGTGTCAGCCTTAGACGTTTTAACTATGTAAGGGTCAGCAGAATGGCTTGGGTAAGGATCAAATGTGCCTCCTTTCATCCCCCCCAACTGAAAAAAAGAAAAAGAACTTTTCAAAGTGCCAATCTACAATATGATTGAGTTAATGAAAAAAATTTTTTATGCAAAACCAAGTAAGAATACGGAATAGCAGAGTGCATCATATATTAAAAACCAACCAAACAAACCCCTAAATACTCCTTAAATTTGCAATGGAAACTAAGAAAAATTTTAGTCATGATTTTTATGAGGGAAAGTGTGCAGTAGCCTGGGAAGTGCACGTAATTGAACTACACGGGGCAAGCATATGTGGTGTGAAGGATGGGGAGCCGGGAGCAGGATCACCAGTACTGTCAGCCAGGTGAGGGGCTGACTTTCTAGCAGCTAGCTTTTCCGACCTAATTTTCATTCTGAAAGATCTCAGCTGCCTCCTCTATGAGGCCAAACACCCAACACAGTTATTCATCTGTAAGTGGTTTTGCTGTCTCTTTCTGAATAGTTATATTTTCTTGCTGTCATCATCTTCCTCAGATGACTCAATGTCAGTCAAGTAAGTCAAGAGTGCAAGCCATACTCACAGGAAAAGGGTGATTAGCAAAGCACGGCATGGAATGAGTGTCAGTGAAGAGCTGGGAAGTGACAGCTGAAGGGGTGCTACTCTATAAGGTATCTGGAGTCATTTAATAGAGAGATATTTATGCATCTTAAACCCATTTCAAAGCAAAGTTAAGGTTTAGCCTAAGGTGAATGGCATAAACCTCATCCCAAAAAAGTGTATCAAGATGGAATGCTTTATGGAATGGAAAAATATATTCATTTTAAGAAATACTGACACTAAGCAACTGGAACTAATGAACTATGTTCCTACATATCCTTCATACTAACTCCCCGCTTTATTCCTTATGTTCTCTGAGCCCTTCCACATATATTTGTTCCCATCCTTTTCCTCCCTTCCTCCAAACTACTGAAAAGCTGGCAAATTGTAAAGCAGATTCCAAACTCGTGTCTGCTGATGGACAAGCAGCAGACAACTCCTGAGTTTATTCTGCAGCCTTTCCCTGAGCAGAGGGTCTAACCTCCTTCCAGCTAGCCACTCCCATGACACCTATAGGGATTCTCTTTTAAATGTTTGTCTGTATAGGCTGAAAGTAATTAACAGGTTCAAAAATGACACGAGTGACTGACAGAGGCTAAAACAGAGCATTTCATTTTGCTACAGTAAGCTAGTCTTACTGTCATTTCTTGCATAACCTTCTGCTTTCTATCTTTTTGTGGTGTATGCGTTCAATTAACTGTACTTTAACAGCCCTACACAGATTTAAAAGAGAAACACTTTTTTGGTTGTTTGAAACTGGTTGTTGTTGGGCCAAACAAGATTTCATTGCTTTGTAAATTGAAAACAAAGTAAATGGAATAGTATCTTGTATAAGAAAAACAATAAATTAATAGCAATACCGAACATTTCTCTCTGTACGTTTTCTTTACTGTAAGCAAAGCTTTTAACAGGAACTGTCTGAATATTCATCTTGTCTCTGCAGTAGCTATAAGACAAATGAACCTTTTTAGCAGGAGAACTTGGTTTGAAAGGAGGCACAATTGGCTTCTCTGGAGGTGGCATCTTCACAGGCGGCAAAGGTTTGTCATTAAAATAGGGATTTGTGTTGAAATACTCCCGAGGATATAGATTTAGCTTGAAAGGCCCTCCTTTAACCAACCGTTTGTGTTCCTCTTGTGCTTTCTGTAAAACAAAACATTTGAAAGAAACAATCTTGTAGGCTTGAAAGAATCAGTGTAGGCTTGAGCATTCTGCCTGCCTGCAGCCCCGCTGCTCACGCTTCTGAACCCTGGCCACCACACTTCCCACATTCTGAGCACCTTCCAGAGCTGAGCTCCTCTAGGAATTGGTTCTTTGTGCCATGAGAGATTTTTACCATTCTTCCCAGATTCCATTTTAAAATAAAATATATTAAAGCATTACAAAAAGTAAAAGGCAAGGATAAAATGTACCATCAGTAATACAGTATCACCTGGTAATTCATGCTAATGACTCAGAGCACATTCCTTTTTTTTCTATCCAGTGGAAACAATCCCACCTCCCTCTTTCCTCTGTTCTCATTTTCTGCTCTGGATGCTCCGTTTTGACTCTGAATTTGTCTCAACTGCAGGTATCTGAACTGTTTCTTGTAATTTCGTTCTTACCCTATGCCAAAAAATGTCTTCCTGCTGCCATTTTTCACTACATCTGATGCAAATATACAGGATAACTAAAATCAGTGCAAGCAATGAGTTTTCTTAGATTTATGAACTCACATGAAGAAAAGGAATAGGGGTTTTTTTAATATAGCATCCAGGATAATGCAGTCTCATTCTTTTGACATTAACACAGAAGTATTATTGTTCTTGCTCCTTATTGCATTGGAGCTTAAGGCTGCCAAATGAAAAATTAATGTCAAATCCTGCATGGTAGAACTTGTGTGGGACATTGCCAGATGCCTCAAATTAAAAATAATAAATGAACAATACCTAAATCTCTTTTTTACACAGGACAGCCATTAATTTGTTTACCTTTTTCCACTTTGTAAATAAACATTAGTGATTTCAAGCTAAAGGAAACAGCACAGAGGAACACCAGGTGTAAATTGTAATACCCATAGCACTAATACATAATAAAGACAAGTATTTTTACCTTCGCATTTATTCTTTCTAGTTCATAGCCATCGGGTTCATGCAGATATCGTTTACCTATGGTAAGGTTTGCGTAACTGTAAAAACAAAATTAATTACTTAGGTGTTCAAAACTCAAGAAACATGTACTAAAATACTCTGCAAGAAGTAATACTGAGAAGTTACCCATATCCAGTTCCCTTCTTCCCTGGATTAGTATAAAAATTCTTTCCAGGAGGAACGTATCTTTCTCTGTCTCTCAGCTGTGGACTGAAGTGTGCAAACGAACCTCCTATGGTTCCATAATAGCTGCCAAGTCCACATCTACAAACAGCAAATGAACACATTGATCAGTGTTTTGCAAATATTTCAGGCTTTCCATATATAGTGTGCTAAAATGACAGCAAGTAGAAAACCCAAACAATATATACATCTCCAGAGTAGAAAACCCAAACAATATATACATCTCCAGAGTTAAATACAAAGCCAGATCAGATCCGCTGTCCATTGACCTACTACAGCAATTCCGTGCACGGCGTTATGGACAAAAAAGTGATGGCAGCAGAGATGAAGCTTTAAGGTATCTTACTAATATAAAGATGCTTAATAGAGGCAGGTTTAATTTGGCGCCAACAAGGTGAAGTGGCACTGGTAGAGAGAGATTCACAGAGACCCAGAGGAACTGGTCAAACTGACCTGAGAGGGTGGTGAGGCACCCTCTCAATATCAATCACATTGTGGATGCCCCATCCCTGGAAGTGTTCAAGGCCAGGCTGGATGAGGCTTTGAGCAACCTGGTCTAGTGGAAGCTGTCCCTGCCCATGGCAGGGGGGTTGGAACTGGACGGTCTTTAAGGTCCCTTCCAACCCAAACCATTCTGTGATTCTGTGATTCTGTGACTTCCTGCTTGGAAGGGCCATGTGAACAGGACTCTCATTGTCCGACACGGATCTGAGACCTGTGTCTAGGTGCTTCTAACAGTTAAACCCTTATAAATAATTTGGTTGCTGTAAAGTCAAGTTGTAGTTCAAAGACAGCCTTGAACACAGGGCTCAAGAACAAAACAGGATTGTAGAGTTATAAACGAGTAACCAGGCTCTAACTGATGTTCATATGCAAATAATAAGTCATATGACACCAACTGCATTGGTGTCATTTTGTTATGTACTTAATGTTGTGCAAATAGCAATAATACATTTATTTTAATATTCTGCATCTATCCCTCAGCTCTGTAACATCTTCTGACCATCCTATAGGATCATTGGTATTTTTTCTAGCAAAAAGATAATGGATGTGGATGTGCTGAGAGGAAAACATTCCACCTGGATAATGGCCCCCTTTCCTACTGTTTATGCCATGTCTATTTTGGGAGGCTCAGAAATGAGGAGACACGGTATCTGACAACAGATTTCCTCCTAAATTAAAATGAAATATTCAGTTGTTAATTGTCCACATCTTTCTCCCATAGCCATCTTCATTTTCATCAAAAATAAAAAGCTGAAGGGTAAGAAAGCGAAAAACAGTAGTTAAGAGCAAGCATCAAGACCTGATTTCTACCTGTGTTCAGCCTTCCCCTTGTTGCTGCTCAGAGTTCTTCACTCAGTACTGACTACACTACATTATTTAAAACAACAATACTGTACTCTCATCACATGCGGTATAGGAAATAATCTATGAAAATCATCTCTAGCATACAGAGAAGAAAAAGGGTCAGTTTAAAACATTTTCACACTACTTACGGCCATTTGTATCCATTGGTGGGAAGGAAAGCTTTGCCCAAATTTTTCTTTGATTCAGCCATTCTGTGGCGTCTCCTTAGCTGAACAGGGTTTGAGTAGGCTTCACCATCAAAAATCCTCATAAACCGAGGCTCAAAATAACCTGCTTGCAAAGCTGACAATGTTTTGGTTCCCCCAGATAACATCTGTTTGTTCTTGCTCGCAGCTTCATTAAAAGGGCCTTGAAAAGAGTACACGAGCACTGTAAATAACTGTTTGATGTTAGTGCTTCTCTTAGCCTACCTTAAAAAACTAAGGTCTGTACCTGGGTGGCTCAAAGAATGTACTACAGAGCATTTAACTTGTAAATCCTGCATGAAAATGGTTGTGTCTGAAAGACAATGCTATAAAAAGGTATTCACAGCCCTTAGTTTCAGTTTTCTAACCCCTACACGTTTTAGGGGCAATGGAGAGAGGCTGGTTACTCCAGACTACAATTCAGGGCTTGAGCTGATGCCTGTTTACATACTACGAGTAATATTCCAAATGAGCATCTCTCTCCCTCACTTATTAAGGAGCAGCAGGACAACTTAAGTGCCTCCAGCTGGGTTTTGGATCCCCAGCAGTTGGGTGTGGTGGAAGCGTATCAGCCAGGGTTCCTGGTGGAGGTGTCCATCAGTGACACAGCACAGGGGAAACGTCAGTTCTGCGAAGCCGGGGTGAGCTTGTATTATCACTTCCAAGCAGCTACTGAGGGTTAAACTCTGTAACATTAATAATTACAAAAATGACCTTTCTCAAGGCGTGTTCCCATTAAACAAGAAGAAAAGGAGAATGTTCTTTAAAAAGACAGGATGGGGAATCTCCCACACGGGAGTCAGATCAGAACAGGAAAAAAAATGCAACACGAATTTAATAATAATGACGACGTAATTGTCAGTAACAGAAAACCTCCTGAAAGAGCATACAGAACACCCTGTTGTTTTTCACAAAAGCAGGAAAATAGTGCTAACTTGCAGATAATTAGTATTAAAAAGAAATATATGCACTAAAATATTTTCATAGTTTATTACGCTTACATATTTTTCAGTTTCACTGGATTTTTCCTTTCTTTGACATATTCATTCCAACATATCAAGCCTTTCTCTCACTAACACAGACCCAAGAAAAGAATATGCCAGAAAAGCAGTTCCTTCCAAAAAAAAAAAAACCCAAAACATTATAAAATAGTGATTCTGAAAGTAGACAGATACTAGAGGTGGCCCCTATCACTAAATAGTGAATAAAATTAAATCTACTTACGCATGTAATGTGAGACATATTTATCTCCAATGGTAATATAACCCATTTCACTGAAGAGGCCAACCCTCTCCATGTCACTTTTCCCTTTCGCAGGCATGGCTGGATCCGTGTGACAGTGCCCTGCACTGCACTAAAAGGATTGAAATAGCCTCGTTTATTTGTCCTACTGCAAAAGTCTATAAGCAGTCCATACCTGCAAACAAAAAGGTTTATTTAAGTAAAAATCAAGAAGTTTTGATTAATAATATTAGCAATAAATGTAATCCAAAGAAAGTAATCTACAGTATGATCGACAGCTTTGGTGCTTATAGGACAAATGGACTATGTGGAATCTGGACACCGTGTATCTCCTCTGTTAAATTCAAACGTGAGCAGACAGAGAAAATCACATGCATTTGTAACGCAGCTGGTGCAACTCCCATTGCACTGACGCAGCATGGGTCAAAATTTACGACAGGTATCTTCAGAGTACTAAGTTAAGAGGGTTTGCTGGCATTAACTGCTAGTAATAAAACATGCCAAGCAGCCTCCTCCTTCATCTTGTGGGTTCTCTCTGGCAGTGCTTTCCAGTCACTTTCTAATAATGGTAGAGAAGGTCAGTCTACAGACAAACCTGGGGTAAAACACAAATGTGGAATTTTGGAAGCCCTCTAACTAATCCAAGACCTGGTCATGGTAAATATCTCCAATTTCTTCTTGGTTTTAATACAAATTATTTACAGTAAATGCTAGTTTTTCTCACTGGAGCCTGACAGAACTAAGGAAAACACCTAGTCAATAAGTGTAAGGAAGTCGAGGGTCTGAACAGAGAGCAGGGTCAGCACTAGGATTACCAGAGATCTGATTCGCAAGGGGAAAACTAGCAGAGGTGAGAATCAGAACCAGCTAGAGGAAGAACTGCCTTAAGGAGGAAGATAACAATATATGGTAAATTCACTGGGAATGCCAATTAAAGTAGAAGAAATTGGTTCGTATGTTAGGCAAGCTATTTCTTCAAAGTCATGAAATGTAAGAATTATCCCAAAGCACAAGGATATGCAAACAAGCAACTGAAGTATTTGTGTCCATACAGCTCAAAAGAGCAGGGCAGTTAAGACACTAGAATCACACAGAATCACAGAATGGTCAGGGTTGGAAGGGACCTTCGGAGATCATCTAGTCCAACCCCTCTGCCAGAGCAGGATCACCTAGAGCAGGTTGGACAGGAATGCATCCATGCAGGTTTGGAATATCTCCAGGGAAGGAGACTCTCCCCCCTCTCTGGGCAGCCTGTTCCAGGGCTCTGTCACCCTCACAGTGAAAGTGTGTTTCCTCCTGTTCAGGTTGAACCTTCTGTTTTCCAGTTTATGGCTGTTGCCCCTAGTCCTGTCACTGGACACCACTGAGAAGAGAGGTGCTCCATTCCCTCTACCATCTCTCCAGTAGTTCCCTGTCTGTCTTGAACTGGGGAGCCCAGAACTGGACACAGCACTCCAGATGAGGCCTCACTAGGGCAAAGCAAGAGTGGGAGGATGACCCTCCT